GGGGGGGAGAGAGCGAGCACCGCCTTCGGCGCGTACCACTGCGCCCGCCGCGGAGGGAGGAAGGGGGCTGCCCGCGGAGCCAGGGCGGCCCCAGCGCAGAGCTCCGCGCTGATGGGAGCGATGGCCGCGTTTAAACAAACGCCTTTTGGAAGGGCCGGCTGCGAAAATCGGCACGGCTGGACGACTGTGGTGTGCAGCGCTAAAAATTCATCACTGGAAGTCTTGCACGGGGGCGAGGCAGTTCTTTTCTCCAGAAAGCTTTTTCTAAGCAAACAAATGGATAGTTTAGGGCTTGGACAAAATAACAATTTTGGCAGGAGGGAGACATCAGGCTCCGCTTTGTGATTTGATTCCTATAATGCAAATAGGCACAAGAAATTTCAATTTGAAATGGCACAAAATGTTAGGATGACTAGGAAACGAAGAACCTACCTTTGGCAGCCTGAAGTGTTTGCTTAGGAAAATAAGGCTAACAACAGGCACAAATGCCTTCTATAAATACATCAGAGAGGCTGAGGGAGAGAAGAGCTAATTTAAACTAAATAACAATACTGGCATAAGAACAAATGGGCATGAAGTTAGTCAGAAATCATTTCGGGAAGATACTTGTATTCATATTACTTACCTTCTGAAACCGGGTAGTGGAGAACTAGGGTAGTTAAGTTGCCTGCAATCTTCCCCTCTCCCTTTTTTCTTGTTTAAACCACATGACTCCAACAGACTCAAGTAGATCTCTTTGAAGTTATGACCCTGTTCTTTTCTGAAGTCTTGGAAGCTAGCCCCAGCACTTGGATTTGTGTGATTACATGTGCCTCCTTGTTTTTTTTCCAGAGTTATTTAGGGAGATCATAAACATCATGAGACTCATAATGAAGTGACAGAAATAAATACTGTCTTCATCCTTTTACCCATTTGTTTTGCCTTCGGCTATGCACGTGCTTGAGAGCATTGACCTTAGCTTTAATATAGCACAAAAGCTAGTTAACTGCTTTTCACTCGAGCACATGCTAAACCAGCGCTTCAGCAGCCTCACTGACAAGGGTTACAGGCTGACCAGAGCACTGCTCTGAATCGGTACCTCACTGTTAAGGCAGAGATTTTATCCTGCCAAGACTTAAGCTTTGAACATGTTTTAATCCATTGTCCCACCTCAGTGAAGACATTAAGATGCTTAAAGTGAGATATACGTATAACAATTCACAAAACAAAGGCCTGATATTACAAGGGAGCAAGCAAGCGAGTTTTAAAGAGGGCTAGTAATAAGAAACTCCTATTGGGCTGGCTAGTCCGTCATTCCCCACTCATTAAAACAGTATTATTTCCTGCACCAGTGAGAGATGCTTCATGACAAGCAGTCTCTTCTCTTAAGTTTTCCTCCCTTGCCCATCACATATATGCTTTAATTTTGCTGCTAGTCCTCTAGCTTCAAGCAGTTTATATTTAGCATCAGTTAATTCATAAGGGAGATGGGAGACTAAAAAACAAGTACAAGCTTGGACCTGTATAAATCATTAACATAGATTTAACAACATTCATTATTTCCACTATTAACATGCCCTTCACCACAATTGCCCAGACACAGCAGCAAAAGCATCCTCTACCCAAAGGGCAGTTCTTTATTCTTTGAAGCCCAAGTCACCCTCAACACACAGGCACCCCTCAACTCGCATTCAGGCTTCCCCTTCAGGGCAACATTCGTTAACTGCACAGAGAACCCTCTATCAGACAAAAAATGTTAATCCTGAAATCCTAAATAGTTTTCACCTGGCTCAGGAAATTTTTCACCAACATCTCCTCACCAGCAATAGTATTTCTTCTCCTCTGACACCCTTGCAGAATGGCACAAGAAACGAAAGGTCACAACAGCTTCCTTGAAGCGCTCCTCTTTCACTCCTTTATTGAGTGTAGGAATTAGCCAAGACCTTACCACTCAGCCCTTGCCAAGCCCATACTCCTTCTCTTAAGATACATGCATCAGGCCAACCCCAGGCCCTTGCACAGCAGCACAGGGAAGTTCAGCCACCGTTTGGGTTGGGTCAGCAGCTTGCAGCCTGAAGCACGTCTGAGCGCACTGAATTCACGCAGCAGAGGGCACTGATAAGCTTTCCAGTTCTGCACTGTCAAAACAGATGGGTGGGTCACAAATCATACAAAACAGGATTGTCTCACATGCATAGACAGGATCTAATTAAGTTTTTCCTTTTTGAATCTGGTCTCATGATTAAACACCTGTGATGATTAGTTTTATTAGCAAATGCAAAGCTTCCATATTTTTCCCTTGTGAAGATCCAGCTGCAATTTGTTTTGCTGATCATATAGCATATGTAGGTTTTAAAATCAAATTAAGTATAACCCAAGTTCATTTTAAAAACGAACAGTTTGGAAAATAACAGTGAAACAAGGTATCTGCCTTTGCATTTGTTAAGACAGTCCATCCTCCTAGAAACTTAATTTTTTTTTTTTATGGTCACTCTCTCTGATGCTGCAGTGCCCCTCTGGGAAGATTTACCATTAACACTGTCCAAACCCCAGGATCTAAAATTAGGGAAATGAATAAACCAAGTCATCCGTTAGAATTTGCTTTTGTTCTTACTCATTACACTAGTAGCTGAGGAGCTACCTGCAGAGGTGCCAAACACACTGGTCAGGAGACACCATTCTTGTTCCCAAAGCATTCACTAATAAAGATGTAACCCATTAGGGCCTGTGGCATAGTAGTAACTGACTTGCGCACCCACAGCCCCAAGACAAGAATGAGTAAGTAGTGTCAAAGTAAGAAAAAAAATCAAGTGGGTTATTTAATCCACAAAGCAGTAGAGGTAGAAACAAACTCCAGCCTCTGAACCCCTATAACTTACTGACGGAGGGGTGCAACTCCATCATACCCTGGTTGCCGACCCTGCCTTTCAGGATTTTTGAACCTCGGCTTGCCTGTTACTCCAATCCTACTTCATTATTCAAAATTCCGGGAAAAATACCAGATTCAGGATAAATCCTTGTGTGGCCCTACTCAGGGCATCCTCTTCTTTTGACAGTAAACTACTGGTAACTATTCTTCAAACACATTTTAGTTAGGTGTGCACCCTTCTTAAATAAATAGTTATTCTAATATTATTTGAATACAAAGTTACTTCAGAGCATACCACCTAGAAAAGCAAGAAGCATGACTGAAAAAAAAAAATACAGACACCAAGGGATCCCACACCTGCCTCCATCTATCCGCTAAACCACCTACGCGATGAAGGAGGCTGCGTGTAATACTTGCTCTGGGTGACTCCGCTCCAGGCTGCCTCCCCTGCTCGGCCTCCAGGGGCTCAGCGCGCCCGCCC